TAGGCGCGCCGGCCAAACCCGGCAGCGTAACAAACTACACGCCCCTGCGCAAGAGTCTTAAGCTCTGGGACGACGATGTCAACGAGGCAAGCCCCAACGACATCAGCTACACCTTCTCCGGCTACGCACCCCTCAGCGTTCGCATCATCCAGTCCATCATCCAGAAACACACCCTCGCCAACGCCATCAAACCTCCCTCCGACCCACGCGCAAGCGCTCAAGCCAACCCCCTCGCCCAGGGCCTCCGCATCTTCGACGACGCTAGCAAATACATCCGTGGTGCTACGTTTGATGAGACGCAGAAGGGTGAGGAGAAGGCCGTTAAAGCACGACAGCTGTTGAATGGAAGTGCAGGTGAGAAGAACAAGACTATTGTTGTGTTCTTCCTTGGTGGTGTGACTAGGGCTGAGATTGCGGCGCTGAGGTTTGTCGGTGAGAAGTTGAAGGAGAGTGGTGGGGAGGGCAGGGGCAGCAGGATTGTGGTTTGTGCGACGAATGTGGTCAAGGGGGAGGGGTTGGTTGGGAGTGCGATTGAGAAGCAAAGGTTTAAGGCTTGAAATGGTGGCGGTGGTAGCCGTGATAGCGCATATATGTCGATGTAGACTCTCCTAATGAACACCTTTCTTTAAGAATGGTGTCTCCTCCTTTCTATGGCTGGCCGGCATAGAGGAAGGGAAGAAGAAGTCATGCTGTGGAGAATGCTCCTTCCTCCCGGAAGAAGCCACCATGTATGTAGGTGTGCCATTGTGCATTGCTTGAGCAGAAGCATCGGCACATGCGACATCGCAGACGGAACAGTAGAAGGTCTTCTCCTCAATCGCCTTGACTTGTTTGGCTCGTGTCTGAGGATACTGTTTTGCGTTGCGGGCCTTTTGACTGGCCTTCCACCCTTCTGTAGGGCTCGCTCTCTTCTCTCGACCGTATGAAGATGCGTAAGCCTTGTCCTTCGCCCTTGTCGCAGCCTCAAGCTCCTCAAGCTCTTCCTTAGTAAGGTCGAGGTCACTCTCAACAGGGTCGAGGAGAGGGTGTGGGAACAGCAGCTTTGTTTGGCTGGCCGACATCGAGGAAAGGAAGAAGAAGAAGTCATGCTGTGGAGAATGCGCTTTCCTTCAGAAGCCACCATGTATATGCTTCGATTTACGAACCACAGTCAAGGGCGCTACCAAAGTTGCCGAATACATGGGCCCGTCATCTTGTCGAGATGCTGATCATGATGTAGCCTGGAGGTAGTCGGTGGGAGCGATAGCCACATAGGAACTAAACATGATAGAGTCTGTTGTGATCCGAGGTGTGTTGGAAGAGTATCACAGTACAGAATCATGATAGAGCCAGGAGGTATTCGCTGCTCATCGCAAAGACCACCGGTGGAAAATACGGCAATGTAGTCGTCACAGCAACATTCACAACGATGGTGTATTCAGTGAAGTCATTTCAATTTCCTTTCCACTCTCTTCATGTAGCTACCTCGTGAGTTACATAAGAGACATTGACCGCTGGCATACTTTTGCAGAACATCCATTACGATCGTTTCGTCAGGCATCGTCGTGAAAGTACAAAGAAGACTTTTCCGCGTTCCTGAATACCGGGAACCCATGAAAGATAAGGAACCAAACACACCAAGTCTATCGTTAAATGCCGCAATAGATGAAACTCCGTTCGCAGCTCGCAGTCTGGGTATCCTGCACGTGCGCCCTTCCTTCCTGCACGCCCTTGTGGCGCTGCTGTCATGTGATGCGCTTATCGGGTAGAGAAGGCCTTGGTGACAGTGCGCTTGAGCGCAAGCTCCTTCTTCTTCAGGTCATCAGCGGGGGCGTCCTCAACCTCGAGCTGAGCCATGGCGTCAGAGAGAGCAGACTCGATCTTCTCCTTCTGGCCACGCTTGAGGCGGATGGATGTGGTGGGGTCGGAGATCATCTCCTCAACGCGGGAGATGTAGGACTCAAGCTGTTGCCTTGACTCGAACTTCTTGCTGAAGGCCTCGTCGGAGGACTTGAACTTCTGGGCGTCGTTGATCATGTTCTCGATGTCGGCAGACGAAAGCTTGCCAACAGCGTTGGAGATGGTGATGTTGGCGCTGCGGCCGGAGGTCTTCTCGGTGGCGGTGACCTTCAGAATACCGTTGACGTCAACCTCGAAGACAACCTCAAGGACAGCCTCGCCTGCGCGCATAGGCGGGATCGGGGCCAAGGTGAACTCTCCGAGAGAGGTGTTGTCCTCGCAGTTGACACGCTCACCCTGGAAGACAGGGAATTGAACCTGAAATCGAAGTCAGTATTCATCTCAAATGAAGTGCATGCATAGGGAAAACGCACTGTCTGCTGGTTGTCGGCGACGGTAGTGAATGTCCTCTTCTTGATGGTCTAAATTCGAAGTCAGCGAGTGTAAAGTTTTGTAGCGATGGCAGTACATACGGGGACGGTCTGACCGCGGGGAACGACGGGAGCGAAGATGTTGCCCTCCATGGCTACACCAAGGGAGAGGGGAACGACATCGAGAAGGAGGAGGTCGGCAGTCTCGGCGGAGGTGGCCTTTCCGGAGAGGATACCAGCCTGGACGGCGGCACCGTAGGCAACAGCCTCGTCGGGGTTGATGCTCTTCTCGAGCTTCTTTCCGTTGAAGTAGTCGCTGAGGAGCTTCTGGATCTTGGGGATACGGGTGGAACCACCAACAAGGACGATCTCGTCAACCTTGTCCTTGGCGATGGCGGCGTCCTTAAGAACCTGGGCAACGGGGTCCAGAGTGCCAGCGAAGGCCTTCTGGTTCAAGTCCTCGAAACGAGCACGGGTGATGTTGGCGTTGAAGTCCTCACCATCGAACAGCGAGTCGATCTCAACAGTGGTCTGGGTGGCGTTGGAGAGAGTACGCTTGGCACGCTCGCAAGCAGTCCGGAGACGACGGAGGGCACGGGCGTCACCGCTGATGTCTATGTGGGAGTTAGCTTCATCCTCGGAGAAAACAATGACAGCAACACCTAAACAGCGTTACAGCCTACATCAGGCTGAAAGAGTGCAAAGTAGGCCACCCGACGTTGATGTAGGCTCCAGGGTGTATTGCTCATACCTTTCTTAGTCTTCTTTGTGAACTCCTTCTTGAAGTGGTCAAGGAGGTTGGTGTCGAAGTCCTGACCTCCCAAGTGAGTGTCACCGGCGGTAGCCTTGACGGTGAAGACACCACCCTGGATGTGGAGAAGAGACACATCGAAAGTACCACCACCAAGATCGTAGATGAGGACGTTCCTCTCCTTGTCAGACTTTCCGGAACCAAGACCGTAAGCGATAGCGGCGGCGGTAGGCTCGTTGATGATACGGAGAACGTTGAGGCCAGCAATGGCACCGGCGTCCTTGGTGGCTTGACGCTGGTTGTCGTTGAAGTAGGCGGGAACGGTGATGACGGCCTTCTCGACCTTCTTTCCGAGCTTGGTCTCAGCGACCTCCTTCATCTGTTGATTTTGTTAGCCATTGCCCCGCCATGCTGGTGTGTGCGCAGATCTTACCTTGACGAGAACCATGGCAGAGATCTCCTGGGGAGAGAACTGCTTGGTCTCGCCGAGGTACTCAACCTCGACGAGAGGGCTGCCGCCCTGGTCAACGACCTTGAATGGCCATGACTTGATGTCCTTTGTGACGGTCTCGTCCTCGAATCGGCGACCAATGAGACGCCTGCGAAAGTCAGTCGGCTGATCGTGCGCGTGCGACGATGGAACGGCAGAACTCACTTGACATCGAAGACGGTGTTCTCGGGGTTCATAGCAGCCTGGTTCTTGGCCGCCTCACCGATGAGACGCTCCTCGCTGGTGAAGGACACGAACGAGGGGGTGGTGAAGCTACCCTGCTCGTTGGCGACTGTGGGCAAACATTGTTAGACAATGGTCTCTGAGTGCAGGAGGGGCGGGCGCATACTGATCTCGACATTGGTGCCCTCGTAGTTGGCAACGCAAGAGTAGGTGGTGCCTGCGATATTGTTAGCACACACGCATCCCACTGTGGGGTAATTCGCGAAATTTACGCACCAAGATCGATGCCGATGGCACCCTCGTAGACTTCGTCGCTCATGATTGCGGTATGTGTATAAGGAACAACCTGAAAAATTGAAGAGCAGGAAGGTGTTGGAGAGAAGGTGGAAAAGAGGGTTGGGAATCTTTTTCGCGCTTGCTTAAAGGCGAGCGATCAGAGAAAAATTGGCCTGGCAGGGATCTCTCGTAGTGTCGGCGAATGACGCTAGGCAGACTCGGTTAACCTGGCGCGGCGCTTATCGATACTCAATGAAAAACCACCCATCCAACATCGATATATCTTCAAGCCTCGGCCCGCTGAGAAAGAAAAGAGTCCGGACCGTGACATTGAGAAGGTGCCCCGCAGCCAAGCTTTGACAGCTAGTGGGAGGTTTTGGGACAAGACCTGCCTATATCGTCCTCAGTCTTGTCAATCCACGCCGGTACACGCCCGGCGCTATCGTCTGAAAACACTTTGGATCGTTGAGTGGTACGGTAGTTGTCTAGCAGACTGACCTCAACAAGCCTCTCTTGAAGCTGGACCATCGTGTTGTCCCCTCGGGTCAGATCAATGGCCGCAAGATCCAAGATTCTGGCTATCTTCGTCGTGGCTTACATCCACCCCAGCTCAGGGAGCTTACACAATATGCGTCTAGCGGTATGATCTCAGAAACTCTTGGAGTGTTGAGTATCACGGTAGTTATCCAGCGTCGTGGACTAAATTGCTTACTTCAGACGCCGTCTTCATGAATGGGCCATATTGCCCTTCTACTCATGTCCATGGGTTCCGGAACAAAGACCACCACGATCTTCGCGATAGATTTCGTCCATGGCCAGCTTCACACTTCCACCTATGGATACGCCTGGAGCCGTCATACTAATGTTTGCAACTCCTAGTTTGACACTTTCCGATCTCATTCTTTCAAGGTCTTTCTAACCTCTTTGCTTTATCTATTTCCCTAGTCCTAGAGATCCAATGTGACCACATCAACAACAACCACAACCCACAATGTCTAGCACCCGACCCTGCTACATCAGCAGCAGCGAAGGCAAATTCTCCGTCGCATTCACCCTCCACGTTATCGGCGTCTTCTCCACTCGAGCCCTAGCCGTCGCCGCTGTCGAAAGAATTACACCACATCACCGGCAAATACCTGATAACGTTCAGCTTTGGATTATATTGTACATTGGCATCGATAAGGCCATCAAAATCGTTCCCCAACACAGCGACATGGTTGGCGCGTTTGCAAACCCTGCTAACGCTGTCTTTCTGGCCATCGACGAATGTGACAACAATATCGTCGACACAAGAATATTGGGCACGGCGCATGACGCTTGGGCAGCATGCGAAGCTATGAAGCGTAAGTGCGGTGACTACTGGAAGGATGAGAAAGAATGGACTGACAACAACGGATGTAAACACGGCGAGGCGGAGTTCAACATAACGACCTCTAGCACCCCGACGGAAGTTGGAGATAACGTGTCACAGCAGTTGGCTGGCTTAAGAACAACGGGTATGTTGAAACATCACTGGTATGTCAAGGAGGTTGTGATTGACGAGGAAGAAGAGCGTTAGAACTGCGCTACTTGGTTCAAGTCTGGGTGCCTGCAGTCAGAGAGCTGAGTTTGCCGATGTCATGACTTAGCACCAGTACGTAAACCGGGTGTAGATGGAAAACCTGTGGTGACTCATTCAATAAACTGAAAGTTACTAACAGATACTACTATATGGAAATGCCAATCACGTAATGTACCACAACGCTACATCCACGTTCCTACCACCCCCTTCCCAAAACTCTTCCCTGACTATCATTCGCTTGCTTTATTAAATCCGCTGGTGCAGGACTGTGAGAACAACGCGGTTGGGTAACACGGTATGTAGTCGCAATGCAGGTGTGATTCCGGTATGCAGCCGTAGATATTTTCTTTGAGTCGCTTTCATCGGATGAAACTGTTCATCACTCTCCGTATTCCAGGTCTATCAACCACGTTCTTATGGCACTATCTTCCTTGCTACGTATTTGGGTCACAAGCACACCCGGAATTCTTGTGGCACAGTGTACAGCACTTCCGGCCTTTTCCTTCCTTCTTTACCCACCTCTTGTGCCTCGTCCTAGTATTGTTAACATCGAACTCGGCCTGTTCGCCACAAGAGACATTGCATATCGCGCAATAAAAATTCTTGTCTACAATAGCCTTTTGTCAGCTGGCGTAGGTCTTGGGATAGTGTTTTGCGTTCTCGGTCATCTGAGATGCCTTGAGAACTGGGGTGGCGTCTTCTCTCTGTTGTCTGGAGTACTTCTTCTGATACCTGAGGTTCTTCTTCACGCGTTAGAGTCGCCATCTCCTCGAGTTTCTCAGCTGGTATATTGTGGTTCCATTCGATAGGGTCAAGTAGGTATGGTATGTAAGGTTCTTCTCCTCCGAAATGGCGCCTAGAGTTGAACTAAGAGTGAGCGGATCAACAATTTTACGTGGGAAAAAAGTGTAGTGAAGACTACATGATCGGAGAATGATGCGTAGTTCGGCTCAGGGAGATGATGCAGTCGACAATCTGAGTCAATTTCAAGTTCCACGACATGACTATGGAGCTGTGGTCGTAGACGCTCAGGGCAGAAGATGGCCTCATTCCTTGTTGAGAATTTCTGACAATGATACACCGTACCGCTTGGTAGGAGTTGCATCAAGTGCGACAGTATGTCTCTCACTAACGAGCGACATTCACGAATTGGAGGAGGAGTCAAAGTTGCACATAGAGTGTATCGCTTTCCATATTCGATCGTCATGAGACCTGCCGTTACGTCATATCCATTCCCATATCCCCTCCCTTTAGCCATACCATGAACGCCCAAAACACCAATTCCATGCTTTAGCCCATCTAATCCCTTTTTCCCAAATGCCCACCCCATTCCCTCCATACCCCTCAGACCGTCTCATCATGAAAGACAAAATTAATATCTCTCGGCCGCTGAGTGTTATACCTGACAAAGTTCTCATCTCCCTGCGGCCTCTCCTTCTTCGTGTTGCTCGTCAGCATACTCTGTAGACTGACGCACACGCTTTCGACGTTGTGGACGGGGGACCAGCCGGAGCGGTCGAGCAGGTCGAGGCAGATGATGCCGTTGGAGTAGATGTGTGGGTGCCAGGGTATGGGGTGGGTTTCGTCGCGGAGGAAGATTACTTCGGGGGCCTGTGGGAAGGAGGGTTAGCGAGGTTTAGTTTGGAGGGTGGGTGCGAGAGTTGGGTTTGTGGGTAGAGGAGCGTAGGGAAAGGTGGCAGGCAGGTAGTATAGAAAGGGAACACGTACCTCAATAGGATACTGCGGTGTAAAGCTAAACTTCAGCCGATACGTTTCGCCCGCGTACAACGGATTCGAGTCCATAACTTGAATGTCCATGAGCCAGGTTTGGAAGTCGTCAGCCTTAATGAGAGTTATGCCTGGCGGGAGTTTTTCGTGCATCTATACGCCGTTGTGTTAGCGGCTCTATTCATCCGTATGTAAATTCCCATATCCGTTGCCTTCACATCGTGGCCATATTGTGTGTGTAGGCTTTCGCGAGTCGATACGTGGAGTTTATAGGCGTCTGACGGGTGACAATGTGCTTCGACAGGCAACGAACAATGGACGAGAGGATTACGGTACCTTTGCGAGCTCCTATCATAAGCATTAGCTTCTGAATCCTTACGTATATCGTATTGCAGTCAAGCTCCATCCCCGAGCTCAAGACCAAGAAGACATACCTTGCCTAACCGTTTCGACGCGAACATCTCGAGATGTGCAGCAGCAGCGCGCCTCTCAACCTAGGGTGTACGCGTAGGTATATGTAGCTAACAATGTATTCTGGGCGGACTCAGAGCGAATGACGTGTATCGTAGCTTCGTTCCGAGGTAGCTGAACAGCTCACAAGCTTATGGACAAGCTGCGACCCTGCAGGTGGACAACGTGTGGGGGAGGGGCAACCGCGCGCGTATCAAGAAGCAGCCTAGGATTGAGAAGCGGCCGGAAAGTTCGATCGTAGAATTGGAGTGAGCGACAGGGAAGAGGCTGGAAGGCACGAGGTAAAGGTGATAGGATGTGTGAATTGTTTGCGCGGTCGCTGCCTGATGTCTCGGTGCTCGGCTTTGTTGCGAAGGTTGGTTCACGCGGCGCGCCAGGGCGGAACGCGGCTATCCAGGTACATTTTGCTGTGAATCATCTGGGCATCCTCGTAGTTCACCAACCATGCTCTTCAATACTAGATGGCACCAGAGATATCTGTAGAGTATACCGCATTCCCCATTTTTGTTATTGTCGCAGGAGTATATATTGCGTTAGAGAGTATCTATAAATCAACATTAAACACTGTGCATGTAGCAACACCAATCTGAGCCACCGCTGGCAATGGATGATTTGTTGAATATTCAAAATAGTATTTGATTGACCCATGATATCTCTCGCGCCATACGCCCACCATACCGTAGCTTTTCCTAGCCAAGTTATACACACCTGCAGACGACACTGCGACGAAGATCATTACTAGAAAAGCGTTGTAGAAGCAAGAAGAATACGCTCAGGAACGACACTCGAAGCCTACGAGTAAAATGCGCCCTTCTGGAAGCTCTCAACACCCATATCGCCCGCCTTGCTGTCCACCTTCGGGCCAACCTTCTCTGGTGCCGATACTGGGGCTCCGGTCATGGTGGCAGTCCTGCTCGCGGCGCTGCTGTTCGTCATTGTCTGTGTTCTGCTACCAGCTGGGCTTCCGCTCTGGCTTCCACTGGTAATCTGTGCGGGTGTCTTGCGTTGAATAGGCTCGAGGTAGATGCCTGGAAGGTAGCCCATGCGTCCGTCTCTTGATCTGCACCTCCACCATTCCGATGCGTTGCCCATGGGATCGCTCTTGCTGAGCACCGCGACCATATCTCCCTTCTTCACTGACAAGTCCATTGCGTGCATGTTGGCGTTGGGTGTGAAGTCGTAAAGCGCGCGGCAGAATTCGAGCTTGTTGGGGTCGAGGGGCTGTCCGGCCTGTGGGTTCTCGAGCATCTTCTGTTGCTCTTGGGCTTCTTGTGATCTCGCAAGCGCCTTGATGAGTTTGCCCATTAGGTAGGGGAGACCGAAAACGGCAAGCATGAAAACGATAAATGGCTTCTTGGAAGGCTTTGCGGGAGCTGGCGAGCCGTCGGGCATACGTCCGTTGAAGGCTGCGAAACTCGCGGGGGTGAGGGCGGTCGCATCTGCTGGTAGGGGTCGTCCGGTGAGCTTTGCGATTGCCGTCCGTATCCATCGCATTATTGTGTAGATACCCAATACCGAGCCAAGCGTCTGTCGTAGGTTTCCGAACTGCTCTGCCACGGATACCATGGCTGTTGTTGTTAGCATATCGCTGAAAGTTGGAAAGGGGCGGACGTACCGAAGAATGACGAATGTGTCGCCATGTATGTGCTCTGGAGCATCTGGGCAAAGCCGCCGAATGCGCCGACAATGTTCTCAATCAACTGAAAGGTCGCTGCTGTGCTCTGGCTGAATGATTGTGTGAGGCTGCTGTTTGGGTCGCCCTGCATGCCTCCCATACCGCCGTACATTCCGCCCATGCCCATGCCCATACCACCCATGCCGCCGTACATGCCACCCATACCGCCCATTCCACCGTACATGGAGCCGTAGCCACCCCCCATGCTGGAGTAGGGCGAGCTGTAGCTGCTCATTCCACCATATCCGCTGCTGTAGGGGGAGCCGTATCGGTTGTTCATGCTCGAGTAGTTGGACGCGTTGCGGTTCGCGACAGTGCTGAGTGAGTCTGGGACGGATGGTAGCGGAGGCGCACTCGAGGATGTGGCTGTTGAGGTGGGTGCTGTGCTGCTATTCGATCCAGTGAGGCCTGTGTTGTTGTTAGTCGCGGCGTCCCTGACGTATCGGATGGCTGGCGGACTCACCAACCGAGGCACTCGTCGCGCCGTTGCTCGTCTCCCAGGGCTTTGGTGGCGATGGCGCAGACATGTTTCGATGTGTGCCTCCTCCGCGCTATGTGCGCAGTGCAGAGAATGACTTCGCAGAGACGATGGCGGATGTCGTCAGCAAACGTCGAGAGGCTGGCAATTCGCGGCGATCGGGGCAGCGAGTTTTTGCGGGGAAACTGCGCCGGCCGAGACTGGCAATCGCTCAAGGGGCGGATCCGCGTCGAAAGTGGCTGCACGTGAGCAGTAAATTGGGCGATGTGTTAGATGCGAAGACGCGACGTGGTGTGTAGACGGTAATGGAGGCGATGAGTGGATGCGCAGTGTCGTCGGCCGGGATGCGGCTGGTCGTCGTTCACGGACGCTGAGTCGCGAACAGACCTCGGTTTCTCGTGCCCGCTTGGGCAGGCCTATCCGTCAGCTTGCCACCACCCCAATCGCCGGCCCACTCCGCTGCATCGCCCATGTCCGTCTTCAGATGATTTTTGCATTGCTTATGAGCCTGCCTCGGTCGCACGTCTCACGCGTCAGAACCTAAGAAGTGATTATTTCGTGTGTTCCAAGACCAATTCGATTGCACTGCTAGGTTTATGGCTACATGTAGGGTGTCTTCACATGAATATCTCAATTCGTCCAGTCAAGAGAAACCTATCTCAGTCCCCAATAGCATACAGAGAATGCACCCAGCTATCCGGATCGTATGCCACCAACTTCTGAATCGCATCATTTGACATGCTCTCTGAAAAGTCAAAGTCGTCGTCCAGCACCAATGCCGTAATGTGCGGATAATGCCAAACAACCGCAAACTTCATCTTCTTCCCTACCGGTCTGTTGAAGTAATTGGAGTCACCGCCCTCCAGATTGCCCTGCCGATGTATAGTCGACTTTGCGCGTTCGGCGCCTTTGCTGAGAAGCTCGAATGCGTCGAACTCGCCACAGCCGGTTGACCAGCATGAGCAGGGAATGTTGTTGCGGTCGTTGCCGTACTGGAGGATGCGAGGTATGGCTGCATTGAGGAACCAGTAGGCCGGGGCGTCAGAGAGGAGGCCTTGATCTGTGCCTACATTATCGTGGTGGTCCATTTGGAATTCGATGAAGAAGGCTTTTGAGGAGCCTGACCAGCCGTAGTGAGATGTCGCGTCTGGTCTCCAGTACGGGCAGTCTGCGTCACACTCTTTATCGGAAAGGACCACGATCTCGTTCTCAGACGTCTGCAGCGTGCCTTCGAACGGCTGACTCTCAGCTGCTACTTTGTCACCCCGAGGAGTGACGTAGCTGAGCGAGTTTCCAAATGCACTGAACATGTCAGCTTCGAAACTTATGGAACGAGATAGCACTCACTAGTCAAAAGTACCAGACTTTTGGGGATCACCCAGATTAGCCATGAAGCTGAGCCCGGTGGCTTGAGCCGGTGATGTAGACGTGTAGTATGCTATCCGCTTCCAATCTGAACCCTGCCTCTTCGAGACGGGCGATGGCGAGGGCGAAGGGATGTCAAAAGGTTGTCCATCTGGACGCTGTGATACTGGTAATGGGTCTTGTGGAGGTGACGGTGAGGGCGAAGGGATGTCAAAAGGCTGTCCGTCCGGTCGCTGCGATACTGGTAGCGTCTCTTGTGGTGATGATGGTGAAGGCGAGGGTACGATAGGCTGTCCATCTGGGCGCTGAGACACCGTCAATATGCCTTGCATTGATGATGGCGAGGGCGAGGGGAATTGAATAGGTTGTCCGTCTGGCAGCTGCGACACTGGTATTATGTCTTGTGTTGATGACGGTGACGGCGAAGGGGAATCGAAGAGCTGTCCGTCTGGACGCTGGGACACTGGTAATGTGTCTTGCGGTGATGATGATGAGGGCGAAGGGACCTCGAAAGGCTGTCCATCTGGATGCTGTGACACTGGTAACGCATCCTGTGTCGATGATGTTTCCGGTGCATGCTTGAGTGTCGGCGTTGGACTGACGTAAACCTGCCCATTAGGTCGCTGAAAGATGGGCTCCGGATCTTCGTCTTCATCGCAAGTACAGTTCGTCTCTGGAGGTGTAGAGCCAGAAATCGATGCAGCACCGGACGTAGGTAAGCATTGTAGTGGAGGACCTATATAGGTTGTGTTTGGTCCAGATTGTGTAATACCAGTCGGGAAGCAGGCCGCATTTACGGTCACCGTCTTTGTCACTGTCGTCGAGACGCAGCTGGACGATGTGGTGCATGCATCCCTATTGAAAAGGTTTGGCCGGCCAGAAGACGTCGACTGTGTCAGCATAGTAGTTGCCACTGGTGTCTCTGGTTGCTCCAACGATCGCCGACGGTTGTAGAAAGGTACTGTAGTTCGCTTCCCCATAGCGCGCGCGTCACCAGGTAGTTGGTATACGGCGAGTTGAGAGACGTTCATCGGCCCGCGAAGGTGCATGGACACCTGATCTTGTCAGCGATGTAACAACTGGAGCCCGAGTCAAATTATACTTGTCCGAACAATGGTGTCAGTGGTCCTGCGCTAGGATAGTCGACACGTTCATGACCACAGGTACCAGTCTTTGGATCGACTGTAGTGGTCCGATTGTAGGCACCAGGCTGGCTGATGTTGCGGTAGGTGATGGCCCAGACCTCAGAACAGTACCAGTTGCCATCAGAGGATAGTTCAGCGGTACCGCGACATAGCTCTTTGGCGGTTCTGCTGTAGGCGAGGGGGAGGAGGATGACTGCGCTTAGTATTGTATGCTTCATGCTGAATAATTGAAAGAGGCTATTGTACGAGCAATGGGTTGCGGGATGTGTATGAAGCGTCAAAGAAAACGTTGGAGTGAGGTAGGGTTGTGATGAGCTGGCACAGGATCCATGGATGTATTATTATTGATATATTTGACTATGGCGTGACGACATCTAGCATGCGGAAGCCACGAGCAGTGTACGAGAAACCGCGTACGCGTGAGTCAACAAGAAAGTGCGATCTGACCGAGGCTGAAGGCGACAACAACCTAATGTAATTGAAAACTGCTTCTTGTAAGTCCATGTCGCCAGTAAAGTATCATGTAAATAAAGAAGTTGATAAGATCGCTGATCAGAGTATAAGTTGAATGCACTGGCAACGCCCTTACGGGTGTGCCTAAAATAAGAGGTGCCAAAAGTATGGGTTGTCATCATTGTGCGATGAAGAGAACGGCGGAAGTACATACCAAGTAGTAGATACAGGAGGAAGCGCAAGTGGAGGTGATCTGTATATCTAGTTCTTGTCAGCACTGGTCGCTCGCAAGATTTCATGCAGTAAAGCAGAGATGACACATGTCAGAATAGAGATTTATGCACCGGCGAAGTTCCGAAGAACCCCGCCTAAAATAAGAGGCGTCGAATGCACTGGATCTCATCATTGTGATGGAAGGGAGGAACTGGGTTGAACTTACGTTGGGAGTGAGCTGCTGTAGCTGGCTTAGGGTAAGCAATTCCGAAAAGATATCAATCGTAAACTGATGCGCGATCATCTAGCTTCAACATAGCCGAGACAATCGCGCTTGCACGCCGAGGTCAATGTTTTGACATCGTGAGGTGCAGAGGACGAGGTTGGTCGTCGCAGACTTTTTGTCAGGCAGGAGCTTTGACGCTAGCCGGCGCACGGTCCACCACAGACCTAGCCGAGCCGCGAGAAATTGGAGTCTTCGATCGCGAACTTCAACCCACGACAAGCCCACCACCACGTCTCCGTACTAATCGACCAGGTCGCCATCCGGAACATTCATTCAATATGGGTCGTCTTCACAGCAACGGAAAGGGCATATCAGCCTCCGCCATCCCCTACTCCCGCAGCCCCCCGGCGTGGTTGAAGACCACTCCCGAGCAGGTTGTCGACCAGATCTGCAAGCTCGCGAAGAAGGGTGCTACACCATCTCAGTAAGACAATGGCTTGGAAAGGAATACACACGGAAATGGTCGGCTAACACAATCGCAGGATTGGTGAGATCCTCCGTGACTCGCACGGTGTCGCTCAGGTCAAGGTTGTCACCGGCAACAAGATCCTCCGAATCCTCAAGTCGAACGGTACGATTGCCCTATACAAATGAAAGCGCACGTCGACACAGCTCTGCTCCTCGTGAGCATCTGCGCGCTATACAAAACTGCATTTGTTGGTCTAGGCTAACATTTTGCGCTTAAGGCCTCAGCCCCGACATCCCAGAGGACCTCTACATGTTGATCAAGAAGGCCGTTGCCGTCCGCAAGCACCTTCAGACCAACCGCAAGGACCGCGACTCCAAGTTCCGCCTCATTCTCATCGAGTCCCGTATCCACCGTGTAAGTTTACCCAGACTCAGCATGTCAAAAGCACGTGCTAATCGTCTCCAGCTCTCCCGCTACTACAAGACCGTCGGTGCCCTCCCCCCTACCTGGAGGTACGAGAGCGCCACCGCCTCTACCCTCGTCGCATAAGCAGATGTCGGATTGGTGTGGATGGTAGTCGTCATGGTAGACATTTAAGTGGAGTTTCACGGGCATGGATGCTTTGCGGATACCTAGCAGGATCACGATATGGAATGAATCAATCAAAAGCATCACCTCCAATTGAATATACCCAATTTGCATTGAAAGTGTCAAAGTTTGAAATTTGCTTGTTATAATGCTGCTTGACTTGGGTATCATCCTGACGCCGTCTTATACTTTTGGTGAACATCTGCCACACGCTCGAAGCCGTTCCATATCGCTTGCCCTTCAAGACCATGCTGCCCGTCCAGTAGTCGAGCTTAGCGGATATACCGCAAAGCTCACCGCCCAAACGCGCATGCGCATGACAGTCTGCTTCTCGTCCATGAGTGCTTGGGTGAAGCTGCTCATGTGACTACCCATCCACATAGCTACTTCATCTTCACCCCAGTTATCCTATCCTATCTTCTTTCCACCGCCATCACCCCATCTCCTTCCCCCACAAGTCCCATCACGTCCCCTCAATCTCCCTACTCTTCCCCGCCAAAAACTCACTCAACCACTTGAGCGGCTTCTCCGGCTCCGCAGTAGCAAGATGCTTCATTGCCTCGAGCAGATGCGGCGTCACATGCTGATTCAAGTACACCCGTGTCGGACTGCCATGTGGAATGGGTTGTGTGGGCGCTTGAGCGGTGGGGTGCGGTGAGTTGCGCGATGAGGCTGCGGGAGTGGGTGTCGGCGCTGTGGTAGCGGTCGGTAGAGTTGGTGCGGAAGGCGGTGCTGGGGTTGAGGTGGAGGGTGTGGGCGGGACGGTTTGTACGCTGGGTTGGTGGGTGGGCGTTGAGGCTGAGGCGTCGAGGGTGGTGGGCTTGAGGGGTGTGTTAGTGAGGGGTTGGTGGGTGATGTGTAAGGAGATCTTACTGCTGGTACTGCGCCTGAATCTGCCATTTCCACATCTGCGGGTTGTTCTGTAGGTGCTTGTTGCGCCTCGCCATTTGTGAGCGCTGGGTCGATGTCGGGGTTTGCGACGGCTGGGTTTGGAGATGGCTCTGCCATTGTTTGAAGCTCGGGAATAGTTCTTCTGAGTGTTTGACGCGAATCGGCGCGGTTGGAGGAGGTGAGAATCGGTGTTTGTGGCGTTGGAATGCCTAGTTGGACTTTCTTGAGAGCGTCTTGGTAGCTTGAGCTTCCAGATGTCGAGCGCGAGTGATGTTCGGGCTAGCCTCGGCGTTTTGGAGCCTTCCTTCACTTTCTTCGGTGACACCACCACGACCTCCGCTTGTGCGAGAGCATAGTTTCCAGACCAGGGTACGTTTTGGAGACTTCAAGGTTGTTATATTGAATACAGAGTTACGCGTCACAGCAATGACTTTGCCAGGCGCAACTAAAAACACGCGAACTTCACACAATTCCATCATCAGAGGAGTATCTTGCACTTGAAAACAGATGATATGATAACTATCTTACAAGCTCGTCTACTTCGAATCAAACACGCAAGGAACCAGAACGCCCTGCTACAGAAATGCAACCATCTCGAGACTCTCTTCATCATGCATTGCTCGGCCGTAATCCATATATATCCTCACTCGTGTTCATCCTTCATCTGCATCATCAACGTGTGCTCCTACGATATTGCGTAGCTGTGGCCATTCGCACAAAGCGAAAACAAAAAGAAACAAAGCGCAATAACAATAACTCATAGAAAAAAAGCCGTGTCACGCGGACCATTTAGACCGTCTTCACATACAATGGTCGCATCCACCTATCGAGATCTTCGCTCAGAAGCATACCCCACATTCGTCGAAACAGTCGTCTTCATATCGTTATTCGTAATCACACTGTTGGTATCCCACGTCCCTGCCTCGGAAATAGCCGGGCTCGTCTGTCTCCTTGGTGCCCTCGGCCTTTCAGAACGGTGGTAGGACTTATTCTGGGACACCTGCGTAGCAGTAGCAGGCCCGTTGTTAGCATGAGTGATCTCACTGCTTGTGTCCCAGGTGCCGGAGTCAGACCCGTCGTCAGAGAAACTGTGGTGCTCGTGCTGCTTTCGGAGTTGCTCGACTCGCTTGAGCTGCTCGAAGGGGCCGGGTGGGTAGCTCGATGGGCCAAGGTCGCTGAATTGCGCGGAGGGGTAGGGGACGTTGGTGGACACTGTTGTGGGAGGCGCACGCTGAGTGACCTCACTAGCGGTGTCCCATGTGCCGGTATCGCTGCCGCTCAGCCTTCTCAGCTGGCGGTGCATTATGCTTGAGTAGGGGACGTTGGTGGAGACGGTCGTGGGAGGCGCGCGATGAGTAGTGATCTCGGTGTTGGTGTCCCACGTCCCAGTGTCGGAGACGTCATCATCAGACGCGTCATCGTCGGACACGCTGGGTCGTCGTAGCTGTCGAGGGGGCTGTGTGAAACGAGGGGTGTTGGTAGAGATAATTGTAGAAGGAGCGTTGTAGGAAGGGTAGGGCACGTTCGTAGACACGGTCGTAGGGGGAGCACGGTGGGTATTAATCTCAGTGTTGGTATCCCAGGTCCCAGTGTCAGACACTTCGTCGTCGGAGACCTCCATCCTCATTGAGTTGCGAGGTGGTGGCATAGACCATCGTTCCGACTCGTCCACGTGTTGTTCCATAGGGTAGGGCACATTGGTCGATACGGTTGTGGGAGGCGCACGTTGAGTGACCTCACTGCTCGTGTCCCAGGTACCGCAGTCGGAAATGCTTCGTGATCGCTTCAGCTCCCAAGGCATTCCTGTAGGATAGGGAACGTTGGTCGAGACCGTGGTCGGTGGAGGACGCTGACTGATCTCAGTGCTCGTGTCCCAAGTGCCAGCGTCAGAGATGCTGCGTTGTCGCCGTATCTCCCTGGACTCTCGCTTCAACTCTTTCGAGTCTCGTCTTGAGTCGTACATGAAAGGATAGGGTGCGTTGGTCGTGATGGTTGTAGGCGCAAAGTCGTGAGTCATGATGCTGTTGGTATCCCATGTGCCAGCATCGGAGATACTCCTTTGTCTCTTGACCTCTCGTGATTCTCTCTTGGCCTCTCTCGACTCTCGGGATTCTCTCGTCAAGTTTGATTCCTTGGTTGAGTCCTTGCTGCCTCTTTCCTTCCTTCTCTCGCTCTTCACACTCTTCTCGGAGTGTCTCGCGCTGCCATGGGAGCCCTTCACCGGAGTGTTGGGATATAAAGCTTTCATAGCAGCACCACGCGTCTCGTACACATAACGAGCCTTTTCGCGCTCGGTTTTATCCGAACGGTCACTCTTCTCTGTCCGATGGCTGCGGCTGCTCTTCTCGGTTCGCTCGCTCTTGTCTGTTCGTTCGCTC